AGAATTCATGTTTTATGGAATTTGCCGTGGAAAGCTGAATCCATTAAGTAAAAGAAACTATATTACATTGTAATCTAGTATATTTTCATAAGGTATACACATAAAAATATCATATATTTTTTATGAAACAAAGTTTCTTTTTCATGTATATTTTTGGGGACACAGTTGGGAATACACCTAGATGTGGACATCTAAAATTACATCTTCTTTGAAATACTAAAGGGTGGGGGCCAATTGGCTCCTTGAATTGACACTACAAAAAGAGGGGCAGTTTTTGAAATATACATGCCTAAGGAATTGAAGAAAACCTGAAAATATGAATGAAATTTATAAATTTGAGGATGCATCAAATTTTCTTTCATTTAATGACCATAGTGTCTCATATAAAAGGGGTTCAGGGTCTCCCCTGGTGGTGCAGGCGGTTGAGCGCCGCGCTGTGAAGCTGTCCTCAGCCTCTGCGGCACCGGTTCGATCTCGGCCTACAGGCGAGAATCCCACATGGTGCGGCAGACCTCTCCTGTTGCGCCTGCTGCTCCCCTCAGCAGTGTATTTTGTCGGCCTGCCTGTTCTGTTCCCAGGTCTGTCTCTGGTGAATCCTCTCCCCATCCTGCACATCTGGCCTTTACCCCGGTTCTTGTATAAATAAATAAATAAATCTTTTAAAAATAAATAAATAAATAAAAGGGGTTCAAATTAATATTGAATGCTAGAATTTCACTTGCCAGAACAAATTTGAAGCGCAGCAATTCTTTAATCGGGGAAGGAAAATAACCATCACTCCATTACCTTTTATTCACTAGGATGATTTCCAAGGGATTCTTGTTTCAAGTTTTCAAAGAGGTGTTGGTGATTGAGATTTCTGAGGTAAAGAGAATAGACAACAGAACAAGCACAACAAAAGAATTACATTTCAAGGCTTAATCTTTGATACTTTCACTCAACAAATACCTTATTCCCAGAGCAAACACTTTCTTTTTAGGAAAACCATAATTAATAGATAACGAAGTCAGTCTTGGGGATGATGTCCAGAATCCATTCTCTTGGCATTCTCATTGCCTATGACGGGATCTGCCCTTGTACCATCTCAGTGGAATTAATAACTTAATTTAGATGCAATCCTCTTACCTTTAAAATTGCTGGACGACAAAATACACTGCTGAGGGGAGCAGCAGGCGCAACAGGAGAGGTCTGCCGCACCATTTTGAAATATAACTTGTAATTCTAAGTTTAAGATGGAAATATGGACAGATAACAATAAAGCCAAGATTACATGGGTGAAAGCTGAATGAAGATATTTTGAATGTAACCAGAACATAACTATATATTTTTAAAGATTTTATGTATTTATTTTTGCATAGAAGAAATGGGGTGCAGTCCACCGGTTGGGGGTGGTGAGAGGATTCACAAGAAACAGAGGAGGGAGCACAACAGACAGATCTTCTGAAATAAACTGCTAAGGGGAGCAGTGGGTGAAAAGGAGGGGTCTGCTGTGCCATATGTGTGTTAACTCCCTGGTGGGGGGTCTACTCAGGCCATGAAGGTGATAGTTCTGAGATTTAACCACCAGGGAGGCCCCAGGAAATAACTTTACTGAAGAGAAAAAGAAGGTGAAAGAGATGTGGAGGACGTGTCAAAAGTTTCTGACTATCTTTAAGTATTTAGAATAAAATTTAAAAATTTTAGAACTCGGAAAGTGATAGCAGGAAGGATGGAAAAGAGGATGATAACCAGAATCAAGGTGAGTGGTGAACTCCTAGTAGGTCCACTAAAATTAAGCCAGGAACCCTCAAATCTCTTTTAGAGCTGGATGGAGTCGGTGGTCGGACTCGGGGAGCAACTGAGCCATGACTCGGGACACTACCAGAAGGGACCAAGACGGTTCCCCCCTCAAGCCCGCCCCTTCCATATCCTGCTAGTGGCATAATTGTGGAGTCTCCATTATGTTGGTCATACATATGCCCTGTTCCTTCAAGTGAGCCTTGCACCCCCAGATTTTCTCCAAGCCTCTACTTGAGGGCGAGCCGGCCTCAGCACTGTAACCACCTTCACCTTAACCCACCTGCTGTAACCCTCTCCCGCTGAAAACCGCTCTTCACCGAATGCTGCCCGCCCCGCAGGTCCTGGCGCCTTCAGTTTCCTCTGTAGCCTGTTGTCTGCTTTTCTCCTTAAATTATTCAACGGCCCGTGCACTACTCCAGTTTTGACTGGGTTTCTTCTCAGCAAGCTCTCTTAAGAATCACCTCTTGACAATGATCTCTACAAGCCAGGTTAGGGCTCCCCCCAGTACCCGCAGTTTGCATCGCTTTAGATTTTCATGACCTAGGCGACCAGTTGGCCCCCTCCGCGCCCGCCTGAGTGTGCTCAGACTTTGCAGGACACTGAGGAGATGTTTGAGAGTATTGCTTCCATGCAAGATCAAGCCCTGTATCTATGCTTGTTTGTACCTATTTGGAGGAATATAATGGGATTAGGCCAAGATCTTCAAATAGCATGTGTAGTGATTTATTAAGAAAGCTGTTACAAAAAAAAAAAAAAATCTTTTAAGAGAACAGTAGAAGAAAGGGGACTAGCTAAGAAAGTGTATAATTCCACATCAACCCTGCAGAGGGCAGCATTAGCCTGACCACACAAGAGATCCAATCAAGGGCTGCTAATCAAAATCACACTAACAGGAGAGGGAGGTGGACGAATAGGGCCCAGGGGAAACCCACTGAATCTGGGGCAAGGGATCACAACAGGCAGGTCAAGAGACCTTGGAGGATCTTAGTGGCTCCGACAAGATCTGTTAATGTGTGGGTCAAGAGTTAATAATGAGAAGGATAGACAGACTCTCACCCCCAAGATTTGACTTCAAAATGGAAATCTCTTGTTGCTTACTTGTGATTCATTACCTACCAGACTAGGTAACAGAAGGAATCCACTCCGCCAGCCAAAATGATTTAGACCTCACTAACCTATTCACTAATGATTACTCATGTCTAATTTGGTTTCTCATTTCCCTGCCCTTTCCCTGAAATTTTAGAGTCAGGCCTGATAGTGTCAGAGTTATTGAGAAAGTCAGATTTCGATAAGTTGAAAACCAAGTAATAATTGTAGGAGTATATCTTGGGAGTCTGTGAAAAGAGGTAATGAATTGAAAAGGGGACTTTGATTCATGGTTAAGGAAAAAGAATTTAGTCTTGGATCGTATGTATTTTCTTGGGGGATGCATAGGTTTTACAAGGTAATGCTTTTCACAGTCCTCTTGTGAAGTAAAATTTAATCTTGTAAGGTAAATATCAAACTAAAAGGATTTGAGGGAATTGTGAGGCTCTTAATGACAAACACTTCTCTAACTCAGAGCACTAATCAGTTCAGGGCTGTCCTTGCCCGGCTGTCCCTACCAGAAATGTGTGTGTGTGTGGGGGGGGGGGTATAGTAGTTCTCTCAGATTGGGAGGACTGGGGAAAAGTGAATAGTGAATTCTAGTGGGTTTGTGTGTTTACGGGGTGATGAAAATATTCAAATTTTTAATGGGGTCCTGGAATAATAACTCTGTGAATGTAGTAAAGCCACTGATGTACAATTAATTTTTTTAGATTGTTTTTAATCTATTTGTACATACAAGAACTGGGGTGTAGGCCAGAGGTGTGGGGGTTGAGAGTATTCACCAGAGACAGAGAGGGGCACAGAACAAGTGGATCTACTGAAATACACTGCTGAGGGGAGCAGTGGGTGAGCCAGGCTCTGTCTGCTGCAAGGTCAAACTCAAGCACTCAGGCTGCAGTGACTGACAATAGCTTGATAGCACTGAAACTTTATCCACTACACCACCATGGAGGCCCCTGAAATGTACACTTTAAATTGATGAATGGTATATGTGAATTATCTCAGTTAAGCTAAGCTAATAAAAAAAAAAAAATTCTTCTCTGGAGGAAAGCAACCCAAAGTTTGATACTTAGAATTCAGACAGACAAAGGTCAAAGTATTATGAACCCAATGAACGATTGCCAAAAACACAAGTTAGTAAACTGTCTTGAGTGAAGTCAGAGAGGATAAAAACAAGATATAGAATCCTCCAATATTTAAGGAATTTTATCTATCAAATACAAAATATTTAATATCCATGTTTAAAGGATGGAATCATAAATTTAATTAAATGGAAGAAATTGTCAATTACAAAGATGATAAGCAGAAAAATAGGCCAACTTAGACCTGGACCAAAACTATAGAATATCAAAACCAGACCTACCACCTTCAAGTCAACCAAAAAAACACCAATTACTTATAAAGGCAGGCAATCAGACACAAAGCAGCATTTTCAAGAACAGCAGTACAAAATGGATAAAAGATCTACAAAATGTGAAGAGAAATAATTATCACTCTGTACATTTTTTATAAACATCAAAACTATCTTTGTTTGTAAAGGATAAATTTAGAAATTATCAGATTAAAACCAAAGGTCTCCTCCAGCAGGCTTGAGTGTTTTCATGAGAAAGTTCAAGTGCCTTAGTATGATGTACAAAGGTTTTCATTATGTGGTTTTTAACCACCATTCACCACACTAAACATCACACTTAATGTTCTCCCCTCTTCAAGTTCCTTTGTCTTGAGTTTTCACACTACCCAACTGCTAATCAACCTTGAAGTCAATGACCCGCGTTAGTTTTATGACACCCTTGAAAATCTTCTCTGTTCCCCAAATTCTTGCTTGTATGCCAAAGCATGCTGAATTTCTATCATAACATTTACCATACACTATTGTAATTTTCCAATTGAAATGTCTGTCTTCTTCAAATATACAACAAACTATAAGTGCATGCTCCTTCCTCTTGAATCTGTGATGCCTCCTACTGAACCTGGCAGAAAATAAATACAACATAGATGGATACTTAGATATAAGGCATTTTAGGACAAAATTGACAATCAAAAATGAAAAGAAACTTGGAATACTTTCTATATGAATTCTGAAGATATTTAATCAAAAGCAAAAGTTATAGAATAATCACTTTTTAAAGATTACCATTTTATACAACACACCTGGAAGAAATGATTAAGCTGACATAACTAAAATCCATGGTTCTATGCTCAGGACTGAATAGCATATACTACATTATAAAAGATAACTACATTTCCACATGAATATTTTCTTAACCTTTTTATTATGAATCACAAAATATTTAGAAAGACATTCATTTGCAATAAATTTGTATTATCCAAGCCTTCCTGTTTCACAGGGAAAACCTAGTCTAAAGGTGTTAGAGGCCTTACAATCAGTTTTTATAAGAATAAGAACAGAACAGTTACCTCTGCATTTTATATGTACGGTCACAGTATGCAAAATCTTTGCTACAGAGTCAAGGCATTCAGAAAATATAAATGAAACATCATACAAAAAAAAAAATCTTTGCCCCATTACTATTCAAGATTCAAATCAAATGTAGATTTAGTCATAATGTTTTATCAATGGCTATAGTAGTGACACAATTCTGTGATTTTGAAAATTAAAGTGATGGCCAACATCCTTTGTTCATCCATCAATAATAATTTAAAGTTTAATGTGATCATTAGAAAATAATCTTTTCTCAACAAGTCAAACTATTATCTGAACTATGTATTTTTTATAAACACTTCAAATACAAAACTCTAAGTATTAGCATGTGCATAAAAAATCATCTAAACTAAATTACTAAATATATCAATGTAAAAGCTATCAAAACATGAAGTATGTAGAAAGGAAATTTAATAAGCACTGAACTTGTACTGGAAGAAATTATTTCATTTTTATTGTCTTGAATATATATATGACTCTGATTATCTTCTTGGAGGTTGTTGGAGAGAACTTCCACTAAGCATTTGGTTTTGAGGTTCTCATTGAGGTCTTTTTCAGGAACACATGGGGCTACTCTAGCAAGTGGTGTAGAAAATGAGACATTACTATAAGCAATAGAAGCTCTCTTATTCCACCTAGATTTATCACTGAGTTTTGGGCTTACGAGGGTATTTATACAAATATCGTGACCAACACATACATAAATATTATCAGTAGTTTTCACATCCACTGTCGTTTTGCAATTGACACCGGCGTAACAGCTGCAACGAAAATTTTGAGTAAAATGCCGCAGGTCTTTAATTGTGGGGTGCCCATGCATTGCATAGTTTCCACCTTTCATAGCTTGAATAGCAAAAGTTTCTGAGTTCAGATGAAGATAGTCACTTGAATTCCAGTTTTTCCGTATACACACTCCCTTGTCTTGGCAAAGTACTTGGTTACACATTTTGGCTGCTAGGGTGACATTGATTATGTAAGGGTTCAGCGTCTCTGATACAAAACTGTCTATGCTTCTGCAATCTTCCTGTAAAATTATAAGGTGAAAATAACAAGGGGCAGTTAGTTTCTATATAATTAACTGCTAGCAATAAACAATTTCTAAGGAAGTGTGGAAAAAATGGGCCCAGGGAGAGATAGGAATTAATTTATCATTTTTACCTTCACAAGCAAGAATTTTACTATTTCAAATGTAGTAGTAACATTTGTTAAGTTTCACATGTCATTTCATGTCACAGAATAACCAACTGAGACCTAACATACACTAGCCATTGTCTTTCTCAATAATTCACAAACTATGGGGGTGGGTAAGGCACAGAATGTACAGTAGTTAGAGCATTAGTATAGAGCATTAGAGTAGTGGAGCCCACTACCCTGATCAGAGTCTCAGTTTCACGAATAATAGCTGTGTCAATTTAGGAAACTTCTAAACACTCTAAGTCTTACATTCCTATCCAATCACTGGGACAGGTTACTCAGCCTCTGCATTTGTTTCATCATCTGTGTGATGATTATAGCATGGACATCATAGGGCTGTGGTGAAAAGATAAATCGTTTATAAAAGTGCTTAAAATATGACCCATTGTATCATTATTCCTCAAGAAATTATAAATATAATAAGTATCAACTTTTTCACGCACATTTAAATAACATTGGAAAGACATGGTTTCTAAATTACTAGTTCAAAACAACTGAGGTTCATTTGAATACACTGTATAGTAATGTGACCTTTAGTTCATGTTATGGGTGAATCAAGCAGTTCTTTTAAATATGTATTTATCTGAGAGTCTGAGGGATGAGTAACTAAAATGACTCATCTTGAGACTAGCGTGTCTTAAAACTGGGACACTGTCCTTTTAGAAACACAAAGGATAGTCACTTTCTTTCTGATGACAGTGCTGAGGTAGTGGTTCTAGTCTTCAGCAGAGCAAGCAAGTGGTGGTAGGTCAACAGAGAAGTGGAGGAATCTTGGCAGCTTCCACTTGATTCTATTTCCTGTTACCTTCCTTTCCACAGAATAATGGCCTTCCAAGGCTGTCCACAATCTATTCCCTGGAACCTGAAACTCTGTTATCTTACATGGCAAAGGACTTTATAGATATGATGAAGGGTGTGAACACTGATTGGGACAGCAAGCTGAGTTGCAAGGATCCTCTCCATCTAATTATGTGAATTCTTAGAAACACAGAACAGATTCTAGTGGGTATTATAAAATAAGATACAAAGAGTTGAACAAATCCAAGTAAGAAAAAATCAACCCCGTTGCTGGTTTTTAAGATAAAGGAGAATGTCATGAGCTAAAGGATGTAGTGGTCTCTAGACCAACAGTTAACCAGAAAATAGAGATCTCATACCTACTATCAAGAAGAAATTAATTCTGTCAAACCCAAAGGAACAAATCAGGTTCCTCGCCTAAGAGTACTGCAACCCTGCTGATGCCTTGATTTGGTTTATATCGAGACCCATGTTGGACTTCTGACCTGGAAATGTTCATATAATAAATTTCTACTGATTAAAACCACTGTTTTAATTTTTAAAACCACTGTTGTAATTTTTAGAGCACCAATAGAAAGCCTCTTCTTAACCCTCCAATAGCCTTTCATTGTGTTTGGAACAAAGCTCAACTTCTCTTTCCTGCATACTAATATGCAGGAAATATGCTTAATCCTTCCTTCCTTTTAGTTAACCCTCCTCACCCACTGGACATACCAGTTGTTTCACGAGCTGGCAGCTTCATTTCAAACTTCACGTACTGCTCCCTTTGCTTGAAATGCCCTTTCCTCTAATTCTGAACATGGCTGACTCCACCTTGTCATTAAATCACAGCTTTCATTAGACAATGTCCTGCTCACAACACACCTTTCCTGTCTACTCTCTCTTCTCTCTCTCTCTTTTATTTCCTACAAGGCACTTTTAACATCAAATATTTCTCTTGTTTGTGAATTGTTTCTAATCCTCCAAAGCTCACACAAACTCCATGTGCGCAGGGACTCTGTCAATATCACACTTACCCCAGTGCAGAGTCCATGTGAGAATTTATACCAAGCACAGATGACACCGTATTTGTCCACAGAGACAAAATTATGTGAAAACAGAAAGGTAAGATGGGAACAGTTTGATGAATCATTAGCCTATTCAAGATGTACTCTCTTGAGAGGCCTAAAACTGAATCTCTAAAAGATAAGGGCTGGCATTTGCAATATCCATGGTATAAAAGATCTGCCATGGTCAATTTCAGGCTGCCAACCAGACATCACTGGGAATACACTGGAAATCAAGTACCCCATTATTAAACAGTTTGATTGTGTAGGTTGGGGAGCACCTATAGTTTGGAACTAACACGGAAACAATCGACGGAATATGCATATAATGAAGTCATTTTCTGATACAGTTTGGGTACTTATTGTTTTTTCACATAACATATTTTATTCTAAGATTTTTTTTAACTTACGTTTTAATAATGACTGTATGTTAAAAGAAGATCACAAAATTCCTGAATTTTTAGCAATCAGGTCTTATGAGCTGAGCCCATTAGAAGCTGTTTCACTCACATCACTGAAAAGAATAAAACAGAATGGAAGGAAATGGTTTGCTTACACTTGAAAATAATTGTTTCAAGTCAGTTCCAGTCATTGCAAGTAAACTTGCAATTAAATGCTCTGAAGTTATCAATGAATCAGAAGAAACACAACAAGTGATCCATTGCTCTATTGATTACAAAGGCCATAGAAAGAAGCAGAAAGTAATGATCATAACTGACTTTCAAAATGATCATAAATTGGAAAAGCAGCAGAAATATATATACACAGCACATGGCAACGATTCCAAGGCACTGTCATGAAGTAGAAAACAGCCACATTGAAGATGAGAGAACCCTCTGTATGAATAATGCTGAAGAAGATCTGAGAGTCACAGGAGAAGAATGTACAGATTAAAATACAATAAAAAAGTGTGACAAATACTATGTCGATTCACCCTACTAATTAGGAAATAACTGATTCACTCCTCATCTGAGTAAAAGCAAAGACCTGAGTTCCTTTTTCTAAAAAAAAAGATGTAGTAAAGAAAAATCTTTAAGTGGTTCTGTCATAAAATTGATAAGTGCTCCAAATAGATTTTACAGATTTGGGAATCAAGTAATGAAAGTGAGAAATACATGAAGGAGAATCATAATCTTTCAATGATTTTCTAAATATGAAAGATTATGCTATGGTATTAGCTTTGTTATGTTGGAGACTAATTCAGTTTCTCAGAATGTTATTTTGTGTTATTTCTTCAACTGGTGACCAAATAGAGTCTATAGAACTAGGCCAAATAGGTAGAAGAGTTGAGACTATTTTAAAATAACTTATCAAAGGTAACAGCTGTATTTTATACATGAGGTAAAATTATGGTTATTCTGGGCCATGAGTCCATCACACTTTCCATGGAACACACATCACTAGCATCTCTACATCCACCATGAAGGACAAAGTCAGCTCTGATTCCTCAGAGCTCATATGACAGCTTTACTCTTGCTTTGAGTCAAAAGGTTTGAAGAGGTGGGTGATAAAAACCTGATGCACAGAATTAAAAAACGGTGAGAGTAAAGGAAGAGAGACAAAGGTTAGATCATAATAGTGAAAGGTGTTTTAAGCACAAGAAAACGCACTTGGAGACAATGAAAAAAAAAAAATCTCACCAAACAGGAAAAAAAATAAACAAACCAGATACATTTCCCTAATGAACAGGTTTTCTTTAAAATAGACACTACTAAATATAAGCTGTGGAAAATGAGGGTTTCCTTCCTTCTCCATTAGGAAAGCTTTAAAAAAATTCAGTAATACATTGAAAAACTAACCTGATTGTCCACAATCCCTGATTTCACCCCTAATCCCTGCCCTACTCCCCACTCCCTTTTCTTCCCTCTGCATCCCCTGCTGCGCTGCTCCTCCTGATGCTCATCCCATCTCAGAGTCTTCTCCTTCAAGTCTGAAGTCTTGGAGGCATCTATCTTACTGCTTCTCTTAGACACTCTATTCATCATACTCTCAGTTCTAATATTGGATTAAAGTCACTGCCAAACACTTGCCCACACCTATGAACCAAGCCTGCATTAGTTTCCTCTCCCTGTTGCCACCTTACCCTTCAGCCCTTCTCCCTTCTATTCTCAATTGAGCTAAGTATGTCTTTTGACTTGTTCATCAGAGATTGCCACTCTTCTGCTCAAACATGTTAGTAGCTTCCCATCTCAGAGCAAAAGCCCACACATGACTGCCTGCTGTCTCAGAACCACATCTGTTATCTTTCTCCTCCTTACTCATTGCATCCAGTCCCACTGGCCTTCTCATCCTTTCTTTCAAAGCACATTGCAGCCTGCAGGCCATTGCACTTACCTCCAGAAACTTGGTTCCTTAACTCAGAAGGTCTCTGCTGCACAACCTCACCAGAGTATCCTGTGACTGCCTCATCTAAAATATCACCATTCCATCACGCTCCATCCTGCCCACCCTGCTTCCTGGCTCTTTGTTGCGTTTATCCTCCTGACCTGCTCTATCTCTACTTGCATTCCCAGCTCTGAGAATGTAGGAAGAGGACCTGTGATTTGTTCATTATTACATTTCCAGCTGCTAAAAATTACTTGACATTTAATCACAGCAGGTATTCAATAACTCAAGGGTTGGCAAAGATTTGGGGTATAAGCCAGACAGCAAATACTTTAAGGTTTGAAATGATACAATCTCTGTCTTAATGATATATTCATGCCTTGAAAGTGCAAAGCAGCCCTGGGCACCTCAACACATGAGCAGGCACATTAGTTTCCATATTTTTTTACTTATTCTGAAATACTATTCTTCTTTTGATTATTTTCCCATTTAAAACTATATCAGTAAGTCTTTACTGAGGAGCTGGACAAAGCAAGCAACCGGCCAGACTTGGTCCACAGTCATTAATTGCTGACCCCTGCAACTGACTGTCATTCAATGAATAATCAAATAAATAATTGCTCAATAAATAGCAGTTAAATGAAGGAAAGAACAAAGGAATGCATGTTGACTTATTGCAGCTCTTTTAAGACACAGCCTCTTCTGAGACACGTAAGTGTGGTAGGAAAAAAAAGCCAAACACCATGTCATAAAATCACATTATAGTCCTCATTTGGCTACTTACTAACTGTCTAGTCTAGAGAATTTTAATTAATCTCATTGATTTATTTCCTCACAGAAACAGCTACAGAGATTCTGCCTCACAATAGAACCACAAATGAAAAGAAATTTGATTCAGTCAGTATTCATGTGCCAAGCATAGTATTTATTTTTTAATATCACAACAATCCCCCAAATCATTAAAAATAGAAATGTTTTGATCCATTGCCTACCAATACAACTTACCAAAGATCGGATTATTTCGTAGCCTCCCCACATTACCAGTCCAGAGACACCTAGAGCCATGCTTTCCCCAATTGTGTGCACAAGGTCATTCTGGTGGATGCAACAGAAAGAGTTAACATATTGGAATAACTTGAAAGAGTTATACATGGGACAGTGACACCTAAGCTAAGATGCAAAGTATTTTTTTTAAAGATTTATTTCTTTATGCATACAATAACTGGGGTACAGGTCAGGAGTGTGGGGGGTGAGAGGATTCACCAGAGACAGAGTGGGGAGCAGAACAGGCAGACTGACTGAAATAAACTGCTGAGCAGCAGGCGAGATAAGAGAGGTCTGCTGCACCATTTGGGTCACCTCCCAGGCCAGGGATCGAATTTGTGCTGTGGTGGCTGCTAATAGCTTCATAGTGCTGCATCTTAACCCTTTGAGCCACCAGGGAGGCCCGTCTGCAAAGTATTTTTAAATACTTCCCAGTATTTCCACTTTTACACAACCACTGCCCTAGATACCAAACATATGGAGTTCCTATTATGATTTTTTAAATTTTATTTTATATATTTTTTTTACATTATTTTTCATTTTTGCACAATGTATGCATTTTCATCTAGCAATCAAAAAAGATAAACTGGGCCTTCCCGGTGGCACAGCGGTTGAGCGCTGGGTTGCAAAGCTGCCCGCAGCCTCTGCAGCGCTGGTTCGATCCCCGGCTGCTCCCCGGCCACCAGAGGAGGGTCCCACATGGCGCGCAGACCTCTCCTGCCGCCCACTGCTCCCCTCAGCAGTGTATTTCGTCAGTCTGGCTGTTCTGCTCCCCGCTCTTGCTCTGGTGAATTCTCTCACCCTCTCGCGCTTCTTGACTGTACCCAGTGCTTGTGTAAATAAATAAATAAAAATAAATAAATAAATAAAGCAATACCAAGCTTAGTGTTTATATATATATATATATAATATATATATATATTTGCAGCAACATGGATGGAGCTGGAAGGGATCATGCTCAGCGAAATAAACTGGAAAGAAAAATAAAAATACCGGATGGTCTCACTCATAGCAGAAATTTAGAAAACCTAAATAAGGGACCAGGAAAAAGACTAATTATAATAAAGTAAAGTTCCTATTATGATTTTAATTGCTTCTGTTGACAAGAGAGTAGGCCCAGGAAAGAAATAGGAATAAATTTAGTTAAATGTTGTTTGTGCTACCTTATTCGCCATGATTGCAAACACATTAGCTATTAAAGCTTTCTATTTTGCACTTATGTAATGATGCGTGCTACCTGCGTGCATAATCCTAAAGGCTATTCAAAGCTAAATTTCCCATCTTTCAAAAATGATGTTAAATTCCATTAAACACCATGATGGACACTATTCCATAGCCTCCATACCTTGATTTACTTACCTTAGAAAGGAATATCTCAGGCTTATCGGTGAACACTGGACGGAAATATGCAATCACCGGAAGTGGGTTCTTAGGATCTTGTATTTGTGAAATCCGGAAGGCTTCCTGCACGCGATTCCGCACAAAGATTGCCTGATTTTTTGCTGTTATTCTGGTATTTAAATAAACGGATGGGTAAAGGGCTGTGCTTTCTTTCCACAACCAGAGGAGGTCATTATTTCTTTCCTTTTCTATATCAGCGCAAGTTCCAGTGAATTCGGGTTTCTGATAGTCTTTATTGTAACATTCAGGAAAGAAATAAAAACCCCATAAGGATTTCGGCCGTAGTGATCTTCCCAATTTTAAAGTCTCTGCCATGAAACCTCTTCCTGCTTCTTGAAACTCGTTTTCGGCAGCTCTTATGGCCTGCCAATAAGCAAATGATGGATTTTTTTTTAATTCCAATTCAATGGATCGTTCCATGTAAACCTCTTTAAGACCCGTGTTTCTTCCCCAGATAGGCCTCCACTCTGGCCAGTCAATTACAGCCAAGCCCGGGGTGTTCGATGCAATGTAATAGCGAATGTCATTATTAGCCTTATCCAAATGTTTTTTCAGACATCCCAACTGGGGGAGTCCTCCATTCACATTTTCACCTGTGTGTAACTCTACAAAAGGATAGTAGCCAAGTTTATGAATATAAAACAGGGCAATACCTTGCTCTGTGATCTGTTTCCGGGGGCTTCCTGATAAAGCGAAGAGGCTCATATCTATATGTATATCATGAAGTTCATCACAAAATTCAATTGGGGCGTTGGAACCCCAGAGGTAAGCAGTATTTGGAAGAAAAGGAGATGCTCTTAATTCCTGTGTCAAACAGACTGGATGCAGAAGAAATGTTCCATGGAATCCAACAAAGATTCTGAAGAAGATATTCTTGAACATTACTGCTGCCATGACAAAGAATAATGACTTTGAATACCATGTATATCTTCCTAGACACTTTGGTTTATTCAGTATTGATGTAAAATAGAAGCACGGCAGAGAGATAATGATCGTGTAACATTTAAATATTCTTCCTTCCTTTTCAGGAATGTTTTTTTGCAAGTTGCTTATCTGTAACTGGGGGAAAAGGGAATATACAATTAACTGCATTTTTGTATCAGAGTTTGGAAACTTTACAGAGTTCTCAATTTTAAGTGGACAGCGTTTCATTCATTTGGATGATGGAGGACCTCTCCTGAGTTTGGAATCAATAAAATTATTTCCTCTTATGTATGATACCAATTCTGTGATAACTAGCATTTGTTTCATCTTCTCAAATCATTATGAGCCTGCAGAGGGATGAATGCAACCATTTTCTCTTTTTAGAATCTAAGTTCTGAGTAAGGAAATACCTAAGAGCTTAAATGATAAAGTTTTCTAAGTCCTTTCATGCTATAAATATTAGGGTGAAAATCTGTTATCATCAACCATGAGATGATAAGTGGAAGATTTCATTTTGTTTCATGGATGGTGTTTTTTTTTTAAAGATTTATTTATTTATTTATACAAGAACTGGGGTACAGGCTAGATGCGCGGGAGGGTGAGAGGATTCACCAGAGACAGAACAGGGAACAGAACAGGCAGACTGATGAAAAATACTACAGAGGGGAGCAGCGGGTGAGGCAGGAGAGGTCTGCCATGCCATGTGGGACCCTCTATGGCTGGCCGGGATGGAACCAGTGCTGCAGAGGCTGCGGACAGCTTCACAGTGCTGTGTTCAACCACCTGTGCCACCAAGGGAGGCCCATGGATGGTGTTCTTTTTTTTTTTCTTTTCCATTTTAGTTTCCATTTTAGTTTAGTCCCTATTTGTTTTTCAATTTTTTAAGTAATTAGTTAATTAGTTAAATAATTAGTTAATATTTGAGGTAGCATTGGTTTACAATACTGTTTACGATTCAGTCATAGGGCCACCTCCTCACCGCACCAATGCACCCACAGTCCTCCACCATAGTCCATTGGGCTCCTTTTGTACCTTGCTCTCCACTCTCTCCCTCTTTCTCCACTATCCTCAATTCTACAGTGAGACTTCTAGAGTTTATGATCCAACAAGTCCACTCCTCTCAGAGTACAGAAAATGCATTCACCCATGGTGGTGACCCAGGTGGATCACAGCCTTATCAAATTCACCTTCAAATGAGAATTGAGGGCCAGGTATAAAGAGCACAATAATATCATTTTAGGATGCCTAAAGCACCGTGAGAGCCAAAAATCTAAGTTACCTAGATAAATGCCGTGTGGTTCCAGTTAGAGAATGATATTGAAGTTGGATTAAACCCATGTAAGAGTTGGAGCTGGGAATGGACGCAGGAGTTAGATAGACATTGAAGAAAAGCATTTACAACATATATGCAATAATCCAGCATGGGAGACAGTGTTCTTTATATCTAGACAGTCAAAGTAAAAGGAATGTTGGCAGTGAGGAGACATTCCATACAAAAAATTTCTATGGTAGCCCTTATGCAGGCAGCAAAATGATTGAAAAATACAAGGTGTGTGGGAACCATGCAAGGTCAAAGTTCATGATCTATTCTCAAAGAAGATATAGTATTTTGGCTTAGCTTTTTGAAATGAAAACAAATTCAAATTTTAATATGTTGATTTTCAAAAGCAGAAATATCAATTTTAAAATCTCTGTACATTTAAATGTTGGGAGCATTTAAATATTGTGAAGAACAATGAAAATGTCAGTCAACAGTGCTTGGGGAGGTCAAAAGGAGTCTTTGGTTTGGCTAGTAATCCAGTCATATTCAAGACACAATTTCAGAGAACAAGATAGAAGAGTGTAGTTTGTAGGAACATGGAAGACAGGCATGGGAAGAGCACAGGTTTTGCTGCCATTAATCATCAAATGTATTTGGAAGATCAAGGAAGGGAATCACTTATGACTACTTTGTTTCTGATGGACCCAGACTGAATTAAGAAGACACTCACTCAACATCTGCCTTTAAATCCAGAAACCCCCATTCATAAGAAAAGTGGCTAAAATCATAATAGTGGCTATAACAAAGTTCAAGTAAATGATGAATGGATAAAATTTCTAAGAGAAAGTGAAATAACCTAGGTAACTGAAATAATCTTTCTGAATCTATGTTTTGTACATCATTATATATTCTATTCAAATTGCTTCAAAATAATTCAGGAAGCGCCTACAAAGGAGATTTGAGGTTAGGTGAAAAAAGTTGACAATGAGTTCATAGTTGGGTGATGTCTACATGGAAGTTTGTATTTCTGCATATGTTCATGAAGGGGATCAGAACGGGCCACCCCCAAATAGGCCACTATGGCAGACTGATTATACTGAGCAGAAAGTGCACAGAAACAGCAGCTGCAAGAAGGGCTCTCGGACTTTCTCCTTTCCTGCCTGAAGTCAGGACATAAAATTTCCCATGGAAACATGCCCTTCATGTACCAGGAGCACAGCATTCTTATCACTAGAAATGAGGAAATGGTGACAAGGTAAAATAGCCCTTATCTTCCAGTAGTTTCCTCCATATATGCCCTGCTCATTTTCTCTCAATGTTCTGCCCCCAGCTCAAATCCCCCTTTCCATTCTGGTGTCACACTATAGGGTAAAAGGTTTTCAGGCTCTACTGCCCTCCCACCATTAGGATTGCCCCTGCCTGATGGGGCACCTACAGTTGGTACATTGTTGCAAACTATCTTGATTGCCTCTGTGGGCCATGAGAAGAGTATTGAGACAGTCACCAAGAGAGAAAAAGCAGAAGACTTGCTGGAGGCCACCAGGCCTGAGGCCTCCAGGCCCCCAGGAACCCCTGCGTGGCATGTACCTGGTTGCTGCAGTGCATGTAAAAGCTCAATAAAAGCCTGAGAAAGCCTCCGAGGGCTCCAGGACTCCTCCTTTACCTATCTGCCAGATCATAGGAAACCTGCTCAGTGCCCATCCTGCCCCTACACGCCTACTTTATCCCTCTGGTCTGCAGGCACAGTGGCTCTTCCTGGCCCTCCACACACACTCCACAAAGTCTCATTCTTGTTGAAATAGCTGATGAGCTCTCAGGTCTGTCAGTTTCTTAGGCTCATCATTTCTTTTCTATAAAAGCTGCTATGCTACTATCAAAGTTCATGCTACTATCAAAACATTAACAACAGGTAAATTTGTTATGCTTTTCTCCTGATTATCTGTCTTTTGTCATTTGAATTCTCAACCCCAGTCACAGAACCAGTACAGGAGTTTTCTTCCTCTGCAACATTTTACATGGTAAAGTTTATTTTTTGTCTCTACTCAATGTGAGAAATTTTCTTGTCTCAACAAATACCATTTTGATCACCGGCTTCAATAAAAACCACTGAACAAAAAATCCTTTTATAGTACCTATGTTCACAAGTCCCCAACATTTAGATATCAGACACTTGTCACTTTATTAGATAAGCAATGATGTTCAAACCCTTTTGAACACACTCTAAAAAGTATATTGTCTGATATAAATCAATATATAAATGTACATATGTCAAAATGTAGGTTCACTATCTATAAAATTTATCTTTAATTTTTAAAGTAACAAAATTTAAAAACAAATATAGGAAATTGAAGCTAATGTATTGGCCCCACTTCTTTTTTTTTCTGCAGACCTGGGTAAATGTTAAACACATTTCTGAAAGTAAGTTTATCTGATAGGCTGTGGTTTATAAGAGTGAAAATAATTTAAAATCAAAATGGTGGCAAAGTCGCTTTCCCAATCTTACTTCAATTACTATATCATTTAGCTTTTTTTGTCCCATTCCAAGCTTTGTCTTGGCTCAATTTATATCTCCTAACAGAACCCAGTAAATGAGCCAAATAATCACAAAATTAACTTTTTTATAAAACCCTTATCTTTTTGAAAACACACTAACATGCAAACACACACACAAATCACTTTTCTAAAATCTTGTTTGAAGACAATTACTAGTGTCTTTTAAGACACATAACCTTTTTTTAAAAAAAAAGATTTATTTATTTATGCATACAACAGCTGGGGTACAGGCCAGACATGTGGTGGGTGAGAGGATTCACCAGAGACAGAGTGGGGAACAGAACAGGCAGACTGACTGAAATATACTGCTGAGGGGAGCAGTAGGCAAGACAGGAGAGGTTTGCCTTACCATGTGGGTTGCTTCCTGGCTGGCAGGGGATTGAATTAATGCTGCAGAGGCTGCAGATTGCTTCATAGTGCCATAGTGCAGTGCTTAACCCCTTGCGCCACAGGGATGCCCAAGACACATAAACTTTGAAGATTTCCAAAGAGTGCTGAATTATGTGCACTTGTCAGAATCTTACAGATATAATCCTGTGTAAAATTTCTAGAATATGTAATTTAAGGTCTCTTACAGATCTAAAAATCTAAATTTTGGAGACTCACTTTCCCAATCTTATTTAATTACTATACCACTTAGCTTTTCTGTCCCATTCCAAGCTTTGTCTTGGCTCAATTTATATCTCCTAACAGAACCCAGTAAATGAGCCAAATAATCACAAAATTAACTTTTTTATAAAAAAAAAAATCTTTTTTTAAATCTTTTTGAAGACATATTCACACACACACACAAATCATTTTTCTAAATGTCCTAAGAATAATTCAATCTGTAAGTGAAAATGCAAAATATATAGAAGAATCTCAGTGGTTAAAATATATATTTCTTTTCAATAAGAAATAATTCATCATGAAGAACAGCATAAGCGTCAAAGTACATTAGAGAGATAAAAGAATCAATGAGGGCCTCCCTGTCATGCGGGCTGCTCCCCTCAGTAGCATATTTCTGTTATCTGCCTGTTCTGTTCCCTACTCTGTCTCTGGTGAATCCTCTCACCCTCCAGCACCTCTGGCCTGTATCCCAGCTCTTGTATAAAAATAAATAAATCTTTAAAAAAAATTGAATAAATATATCGTAGAATTCCTGTTTTATTGAATTTGCTGTGGAAATATGAATCCATTAAATAAATGATGGTATTATATATTGTAATATATGTGTATTTTATATATTATGTACATAAATCATATATGTATGTAATTTATGAAATAAAATAAAATACCTTGTTAGTGTACATTAAAAGTCTTAGGGACACAGTTGGGATTACACCTAAATATAAACATCTAAAATAATATCTTCTTTGTAAAGATATTTGCCTGCAATACTAAGGGGCAGGGACCAACTGAGACCCATATTGGACTTCTGATCTGGAAATGTTCAGCTAAAAAATTTCTGTTGAAAACCACTGCCCCTTCCTTATTCATGCTAGTGACAAAATTGTGGAGTCTCCATTATTTTAGTCATGCATATGCCTAAGAGGGCTGGCCCCTCAAGTGCCTTCCTGTCCTTCGGGAAGAAGCCTTGCACCCCAAGATTTGCTCCAAGCCTCTGCGGGAGCCAGCCAGCCTCGGGGCTCTGTGCTCGCGCTCTAACGGGCTCTGCCCACCAGGCTGCTCCATAACCGACCTCCCTGAAACCCGCTCTCCTGAAACCAGCTGTACCCAGTGCTGCCCGCTCCACAGGCTCTGGTGCCTCCAGGTTTCCTCTGTGGCTTGTTGTTCACGTCTCTCCTTAAATTATTCAAGGGCCCTGCACTGCTCGAGGTGTGAGTGGGTTTCTTCTCGGCACGCTCGCTTAAGAATCACCTCCTGACAATGATCTCTGCAAGCCAGGTTAGGGCTCCCCCGAGTAGCACCAAGCACTGCTCTCTACTTGCTTGCAAGTGATGAAAGTCGGGCTTATGATTCTGATCTTACCTGGCCCACGACCTCAGTTAAAATATCCTTCTCTCTGGCTTCAGCTGCCAAGCCGCAGTTTGCATCTATTTAGATTTTCATGACGTAGGCGATCAGTTGGCCCCCTGCGCGTCCGCCTGAGTGTGCTCAGACTTTGCAGGACACTGAGGAGATGTTTTACAGTATTGCTTCCATGCAAGTTCAAGCCCCTGTATCTATGCTTGTTTGTACCTATTTGGAGGAATATAATGGGATTAGGTCAGGTTCTTCAACAGCATTGCCCTGAGCATGTGTTGTCATTTATTAAGAAAGCTGTTACCAAAAAAAAAAATCTTTTTTTTTTTTTTTTTTTTTTTTTAGGTTATGTTCATTTAATATGCTTTGCTAAAAACCCAAGTGGTTTATTATTTAAAATTTTTCTGATTACAGTTTTAAGTACAGGCACCATCATTGAATTTCTATGTAATTACAAAGTTGCTCAAATACAAAAATATATAATTGCTTTATTCCCATTTTTTCATCTCTAATATGGGGAGAATAATGATGGCATTTAAATCATACCATTATTGTGAGAAGAAAATAAATGAATATAAAGCACAAAGCATAAGTCTATTATATGGTCAGCAAATATTGCCAACTTCATCACTATGACTACACTTTCATTTTGTTTTTATAGTTATATAACAAATGTAGCTCACTGTAGAAAATTTGTAAATCCAAGAAAATAAAGAGAATAAAATAAGATCACTTTTAATTTTTGTACATGCCCCCTTCAGCTGTTTTATACAAGCATTTGGTTACAAAATTTAAAAATTATCATATGTGTGCAATAGTGGAAACATGTTTTTCATGTAATATTTTATGATGATTATTACAAAGCAGCCTTTTGAAGCATTAAGTGTGCTTCAAAAATAAATGGTACATGGTATTTCCTTAAATTCAGGCTTAAGTATTGACCCTATCATTCATCTATCCATTAATGCATTTTTTAAGTTGTCACTAAAATGATCAGCACTGAACAAACTTGCACATAAGATATTCACCTCTATTTCTTTCACCAGGACAAATTCTTATAGAGGAGAAATCAAATTTGTACAAAAATGAATAATGATGTAATAATACATAATTAATAAAAAAGAAAAAATGTATCAAGCTTACAGGATCTTCACACAATTGTGTTAAGTTGATTTTCAGAGAAATCAAACCAATTTACACAGCATTAACAAAAACAAGTTGTTGCTTACTATACCACCCCTTGTTAGCACTAAATATTATATTTTCTATTATTTTAAATTTGATGAAGAAATTGAATTTCCATGTTGACAGTTTTTTATTTTATTACCAGTAAAAGGTTAATCACACTTTTCCATCAAATAAATCTTTGTGTCTTTTATTTTCGTTTTGAGGAGATTGTCTTTTTAGAAGTGATTGATATGATTCAGAACAGGTCTTGTAGATAAATACTTTTTATTATTTATTGCCACTATTGCAAATATTTCCCCCAGTTTATCATTTATCTTTCCTTGCTTTTAATTTGTTCTATCTTGTATTTTATTCTTAAAAATAGTCAAGTATTTGTTCTTCAAATAAGAAGCAATATATTTTCACTATGGATAATGTAAAAATATAAAATGCAAAGAAGACATTTAAAGACACTTGGAATTGGACCACTAAAACAAGATACTAACAAAGGAATAGAACTGAAGTCTCTATATGTATGTTTTTATTTAATTTTAAAATAAATGTCTTTATATTGAAAACACTTTTATAGTGAACACTACTTTTCTTAATGTTTTAAAATTACATTAAATTTACTTGTTTGTTAATGATTGACATCTTTACAATACTATCTTTTCTCTTTTAGATTGTATTTTTTTTTTTTTTTTTTGTATAGTTATCTTTTGTGCTTTTTATTTTTTTTTTTTTTAAATATTAAATTTTATTTTTATATTCCCCCATACAATTGCAAACGCCCCATTCTGACCCAATCCTTCCCCTCCCGCCCCCCCCCCCCAAAAAGTGTCTCTGGTTCATAGTTTTTGTTGATTTTGATTTTCACTTTCTTATATTCATTTTCCTGGTCCCTTATTTAAGTTTTCTAGATTCCTGCTATGAGTGAGACCATCCGGTATTTTTCTTTTTCTTTTTGGCTTATTTCGCTGAGCATGATCCCTTCCAGTGCCATCCATGTTGCTGCAAATTGCATGTGTTTATCTTTTTTGAATGCTGAGTAATATTCCATGGTATATATGTACCACATCTTCTTGATCCAGTCATCTATTTTTGGGCATTTGGGCTGTTTCCAAAGCTTAGCTATTGTAAACAGTGCTGCTATAAACATAGGAGTGCAGGTGCTCTTTGGAATTGATGTTTCTGTGTCCTTTGGGTAAATACCTAGGAGTGGAATTGCTGGATCATATGGAAGCTCTATGTTTAGTAGGTCCAGAAATCTCCACACAGCTCTCCATAGTGGTTGGACCAGTTTGCACTCCCACCAACAGTGCACAAGAGTTCCTTTTTCTCCACATCCTCGCCAACATTTGTTGTTGCTAGTTTTTTTAATATGTGCCATTCTCACTGGTGTGAGATGGTATCTCATGGTAGTTTTGATTTGCATTTCCCTGATTACAAGTGATGTTGAACATTTTTCATATGTCTGTTGGCCATTTGCATTTCCTCTTCAGAGAAGTTTCTTTTTAGCTCTTCTGCCCATTTTTTGACTGGATTATTTTCTTTGTTGTTGCTGAGTCTCATCAGCTCTTTGCAGATTTTTGTGATCAGTCCTTTATCATTAGTGTTGGGTGCAAAAATGTTCTCCCAGTTGGTGGGGTTTCTCTTTGTCTTTGTTATTGTCTCTTTTGCTGTGCAGAAGCTCTTTAATTTGATGTAGTCCCAGCTGTTTATCTTTCTCTTCACTATCACTGCTTTGGGTGATGTGTCTGTAAAGATGTCTTTGATGTGCAAATCCCGTAGTGTTTCGCCTATATTTCCTTCTATGTATTTTATGGTTTCAGGTCTTATGTCTAGTTCTTTAATCCATTTTGAGTTGATTTTTGTGTATGGTGTGAGGTAGTGGTCAAGCTTCATTCTTTTGCATGTAGCGACCCAGTTTTCCCAGCACCATTTATTGAACAAACTTTCTTTGCTCCAATGCATAGTCTTCGCTCCTTTGTCAAAGATTAGTTGACCATAAATCTGTGGGTTTATTTCTGGATTTTCTATTCGATTCCATTGGTCTGTATGTCTGTTCTTGTTCCAATACCATGCAGTTTTGATGATTATGGCTTTGTAGTATAGTTTGAAGTCTGGGAGTGTGATGCCTCCATTTCCTTCTTTTTTTTTCAGTAGAGCTTTGGCTATTCGGGGTTTTTGGTGATTCCATATGAATTTCATCAATAATTGTTCTATTTCTTTGAAGAATGCCATTGAGATTTTGATTGGAATAGCATTGAATCTGTATATTGCTTTTGGTAGGATGGCCATTTTAATAATGTTTATTCTTCCAATCCATGAGCAGGGGATGTCTTTCCATTTCTTTGTGTCTTCTTCTATTTCTTTTAACAGTGTTTTATAGTTTTCTTTGTATAGGTCCTTTACCTCTTTTGTTAGATTTATTCCCAAATATTTGATTTTTTTTGTTTCGATAATAAAAGGGGTGGTTTTTTTGATTTCTTCTTCTTCAGATTTATTGTTTGTGTATAGGAAGGCTACTGACTTTTGCGTGTTGATTTTGTATCCTGCCACTTTACTGAACTGATTGATGAGTTGAATTAGTTTTTCTGTGGAGATTTTGGGGTTCTCTATGTATATTATCATATCATCTGCAAATAGTGATAGTTTGACTTCTTCTTTCCTATTTGGATTCCTTGGATGTCTTTCTCTTGTCTTATTGCTCTGGCTAGGACTTCCAGTATTATATTGAAAAGCAGTGGTGAGAGTGGACATCCTTGTCTTGTTCCAGATCTTAATGGAATTGCTTTCAGCTTTCACCATTGAGAATGATACTGGCTGTTGGCTTGTCATAGATGGCCTTTATGATGTTGAGGTATGTTCCTTGTATCCCAAGAATATCAAGGGTTTTTATCATGAATGGGTGTTGCACTTTGTCGAAAGCTTTCTCAGCATCTATTGATATTATCATATGGTTTTTATATTTCTTTTTGTTGATGTGTTGGATAATGTTGATTGATTTTCGGATGTTAAACCATCCTTGTGCCCCTGGAATGAATCCAACTTGGTCGTGGTGAATTATCTTATGGATACATTGTTGGATTCTGATAGCTAAAATTTTATTGAGGATTTTTGCATCAGTGTTCATTAGGGAGATTGGCCTATAGTTTTCCTTTTTTGTGTTGTCCTTATTCGGTTTTGGTATTAGTGTAATATTGGCTTCATAGAACGTGTTGGTATTGTCCCTTCCTTCTCAATTTTTGGAAGAGTTTGTGAAGGATAGGCACTAATTCGTCTCTGAATGTTTGGTAGAATTCATTTGTAAATCCATCAGGTCCTGGGCTTTTGTTTTTGGGGAGGTTTTTAATTACCATTTCAATTTCGCTGCTTGTAATTGGTCTGTTTAGGTGTTCTATTTCTTCTTTATCTAGCTTTGGGTGATTGTAGAGTTGTAGGAATTTGTCCATCTCCTCTAGATTGTTTAACTTGTTTCCATATAACTGTTCATAGTAGTTACTGATTATTCTTTTGATTTCTGCTGTGTCCGTTGTGATTTCTCCTCTTTCATTTATGATTCTGTGTATTTGTGCTTTCTCCCTTTTTTCCTTGTGAGCCTGGCTAGGGGTTTGTCTATTTTATTTATTTTTTCAAAGAACCAGCTCTTGGTTTCATTGATCTTTTGATTGTTTTTTTAGTTTCAATTTCATTTATTTCTGCTTTGGTTTTTATTATTTCTTTTCTTCTACTGGTTCTGGGGTTTTTTTGTTGTTCTTTTTCTAGATCTTGAGCTTCGAGATTAGGTTGTTTCTTTGAGTTCTTTCTTGTTTTTTGATGTGAGCTTCTATTGCTATATATTTTCCTCTTATTACTGCTTTTGCTGCATCCCATACATTTAGGATATTGGTGTCCTCCTTGTCATTCAATTCAAAG